AATCTCTCTTTACTACAAGTCATGATTTTTTGAAGTTCCAAGAAAATAAACACTAGAAATAGCAACGTGAAAGGGACTGTACGCTGTTAAGATTAGTAGATATTCTTGTTCACAATCTATAAATGTATTCAGTATCCATACTAAGAACTCAATGATCATATGTAAAATGACGCACAATATATTTAACATTTGTACATACTTAATATAAAATGTAAGTATTTAACATTTTATAGTAATATCTAATATAGTCAGCACAAAGATTATAATCAACTCAGCTAATATTTTAAATGAAAGTCTACATACAAAGCACTGTGCTAGTTATTATGGAGACATGACTATCTATGTAAGAGATCCCTGCCCTCCATAAACCAACTAGTGAAGAAATAAATCATATCGAACTAAATATCTAAATACCAACCATGTGCCAAGAACTGTGCTATATGACTTTATATAAAATCACCTTATTTAATCCTCATAATTTCACAAGCTACATAAAAATCCCACCTTTCAAATGACAACAAAGCGAAGCTTTCAGAATTCTTTTGAATTTACAAGGTACCTATTACATGCCAGGCACTAATATTCTAGTGCTAGAAATAGAGAATTTTAAGTGAGACATTAAATTCAAGGGAGCTGAAGAGAGAAAACAAAAAAACACAAAAGGATGTGTTAAGATCAGGTAGAAAGTAGGACTACTAAAGTGGGTCCTTTGCCCCTCTTGAGGTAACATTTAAACTAAAGACAAGGAACACTGCAAAGATCCATGGAAAGAATAGCATTCTAGGTAAAGGACACAAATTTTGCAAATTTAAGACAGAAAGACCAATAAGAAAGTTAAGGCACTATGCTCAAGAAGAGGGTATGAGATCAGGTAGAAGACACAGGAATAAACCAGATCAAATAGCACCTATTAAGTAGGCCAGAGTAAGGAGTCTAGATTTTATTCTAACTGTAAAGGGAAGGTACTGGAAGATTTAATGAGGGAGGTCACACCATCTAATCTACATTTCTAAATGGCTGCTGTGTAGAGCACAGACCGTATGGAGAGAACAGAGAGACAAATTAGAAGGCCGAAGTTCAATATAATGGTTTGCCTAGATAAGGTTATGGAAATAAAGATGGGAAATAAAAAAGCAAATCCAGAATCTGGTTTGGAAGTACAGTCAACAGTACTTGCTCATAGGTTTTTGGTGGTATGGTGAAAAAAAAAGAAAAATCAATGATGCCCCTAAATTTTAAGTTTTGGACTCAAGCATCCAGGATAAGTGCAAGTTCAGGGGAGAAAACAAGATATTTGTTTTCCCATTTTAGTCTGCCCTTGGTCAGAGTATAAATGGTTAATCCAGAATTTAATCTTCTCCTGATCCCAACTCTTGTGCTTTCTCCAATACCCTAAGAGGTGCCTAATGTTACCATAACCCACATACAGAATTCAAAATACCAAATCAATCTTCCCTTTATTAGAACCAAGATCACTTACTAAAAGAATAAAAAGAGATGTAAGAGATAAGGAATAAATTGCTTTACCCATCTTTATCCAATTGATTCACCAACCAATGAGGAGCACAGAATAAATCAGCCTTTATTTACTTTTTAAAATAAAGTTCTTATACATCTTTTAAAAAATCTATATTTTATGGACTAATACAGAATGATCATGTAGAACACAAGCAATTGAGAGAGAAGACAACTGGGCTTAAGTAAATTCTAAAGATGAAGGCCCCCAAAATGGATTCTTTAAGGTACCCTATCAAGCATACTTGAGCCAAGTCTTCTCATTTTAGAAGATTCTCATCTAACAGATTCAGATTTTTGCAAACAAATTAATTGCTATTCACACCTTTAAAAATCCTGAAAATAAAATCTCATGACTATTACTCTAATAGATTAGGTTTCAAACCTTGCCTTGACCATTACTAACTAGCTGCCCAACACTGGACAAGTTACCTTAATTTCTTTCGGTTTCAATTTCCACAAGTATAAAATAAGGCTAATAATGGTACTTACTCATAAGGTTAAGTGAACTGAATTAATAATGTAAATAGCTTAATGTTGGCACATGGTTTGTACGCACTCAAACATTTGCCATCATTACTGATAAAGCTGGTTTGTGACAGTCTTTCCTGCAGGTTATTAACTTTGCTTCAAATAACACTTGTTTTAAGGTTACTCGAATACTTTTGATATAGCATTTATCACAATTATCGTCTTTCAAAAAATGCTTAATAACTGGAATTTTGCTTTAAAACTCTTACTTAAAAAAGCAAATAACTAAATAAAATTAGTAAGTGCTGATAATTATTAAATCTAGATAACATGAGAGTTCACTATTCTATCAAACTTAAAATTTTCCATAATTGAAAGCTTTTTAAAAGATAAGTTAGTCACAAATTTTTAGTTCTTCGTCCAGCTTGCTACCCTGCTTAAAAAAAAAAAAAAGGGCACAGAACAGAAAAAGAATACCTGATTCTAGACTAGGCTGTGCCACTCCCTAATTCATGTGGCCGTAAACAAGTGTTTTACCTTTTTGGCCTCCACCCAGTAAATGGAGAAATACTGGATTAAGTATAATTAAAGTGTTTGAAAATTCCAAAATATTACATAAATGTAGGCTAAAATTATCATTACCTTAATGTCTATAGATTGGATTTTATTTTGTTTTGAGTCCGGGTATTGTCAAATAAAATATTAAATGCTTAAGACACTCAGGTAATACTGATGACCATTGTTTTAGAAGCTGGATGTGAAAAATGAACAAATTCATAACCTAAACATTTAACACTACCCAGAGACACATTCAACTTTATTTTATTCCCGTATCTACTTCTTTATTAATAAGTCATTGCAAATTAAACAGCAGAATTCAGAATGTCCAATTAATAATTTTGAATATTTCCGGAAACTCCAATCCGAAGCTCTAGGTAGAAATGAAAAGACTCCATATCTACAAGTCTACTCATCATACAGCTAGCTGCCCACATAAGTCAGTCAATAAATTCAACTAGAATTGAGCGTACTGATAAATTACTATATGTCTGTCTCCAAGTCCTAAAATACTTATTAGTCTTCCAAATCAAGAATCAGCTCTAGCTAAATCTCCTGTGCCACCATTTTAATTATCTGAATTAAGAGGAATTTCAGTTTACCACAACGTAACAGTGAACACATGCTATCCTTAAAACAAGATGCTACAAGCCATCAGTAGACTTTACGTTGTTCACTGTGAGTTATTTTATACACACAATCCTTCCCATCAAATTATTTATCCTGAATTGCCTAGGATCGCATAAAAACGCAAATAAACTTACATCTGTTTTTCCTATGTAATGGTTCTTTATTGTCTAAACAGTAGCCCAACCATTCCAGCTAGAGTTCAATTGGAATGAGAACTCACGAGGAATATGAAATGTTTTGCTTTTTAATTCTAAAAAAATTTAAAAGGCGATACAACAAAAGAATATGTCTGAAGTACTTAATCTCCTTACATCAAATTTGGTCATATTTGCCAACTTTGGTCTTAATTTTTTCAATTCTAAAACGCTTTTTCAAAAGTTTGATGTATAAAAATAGTTGTCAGTACTGCTACTTGATTTTGATTAGATAAATCTTAAAAGTAAATAAAGCCAACTTATGGATTTAAAACGAGGTCAAAGTCCGTAACCTCAACTTACCACTCCCACCCACCAACTACCAATCATGGCTGCAACATTTCAGACACGACATAATGCGCTGGATCACCCGCTGAAAAGGACGTGGATTCGGCTGTACTACTGGAGAACTGCCTTTCGGCCCGGGAGTAGAGGGACCACTATTTGATCTACCAGCTAAGGCCCGCTTCCTATGCTAAGAAACGGTAACTAGGCACCGACTCCTACAGTCAATAGTGCACATTCCTCCAAAATACAGTGGATTGCCAAGGGGACCCGAAAAGATTAACCATGGAGAAAATTTTCCTGCAACACCAAGGGCCCGAGGCGGATGAGGGGTTCAGTTACGAGGGACAACAGAATGGATCCTACCACTGAGAATAACGAACAGGAGGTGTAAACCGACAGGAAGCGTGAATCCGGGGAAAAGGAGTTTAAAGACGACGCGAAAAGGGGTCAACCTACCTTGAGCACTTTGCTACAGGTCATAGTTATATTATCAAAGCCCCAAAGACGGGGAAGAAAGGTGGCGACGCCAGCCAATGAGAGACGAACCCAAGTTGCACCTCTCGCGGCCTCAGGAGCCGTAGGCGGGGAACGGAGAAAGGGAGAAGCGCGCGTGCGCAACTGAGAGCACCCAGTCGGGCGCGCGCAGGGGTCTGGACTGAGAAAATGGGGGAAGGGTTGAAGACGGAGATATGCGCACGCGCACGGAAAGGCCTCGAGGTCTCCGGGTCTCGAGCCAGGTTCGTAGCCGCGCGCGCGCGCGTACCGTTCTCGCTGCTCACCCCACCCCACCCCACCCCCACCTTTTCGGCTCGTAGTGCCTCGAAAATGAGAAGCTGACGGAGAAACAACAAAACAACAGGACTCCTGACCCACCTTTTCGGCTCGTAGTGCCTCGAAAATGAGCTGACGGAGAAACGCATAAATAACACGACTCCTGAGTTCTCCTGTCGCCGACAACCCGCCACCAACCACAAAAGACTCAACAATATTCATTCGTCCTTAATATTCACTATCCTTAAGCGACAGGAATGCAGCGCAAGGCCTACCTGACACGCCGAAGCACGGTTCCCGGGAGTTATGTTCGTTGTAACTACACAGCGGCCATTTCCCGACTCAAGAACGAGAGGAAAACCATAGAGGTATCTTCGACGCGCTAGCTCGTTTCCGTCACTTCCGATTTGGGGCGTGGACTCTGGTGCCGCTAAATGTCTGGGCAAGCCCCGCCCACCCTTCCGCCCTAAACCGGCTCCCTGGCCGCTGTTAAGATGTTGCCTGAGGCTTTCTGGGAAGTCGCGTGGCTGGTCTCGCGCGAAAATCTGGCAGCTCCGCCCTCGGGTCCTTAGCGGCCTTTTCGGCCAGGATGGGGTAAGAGTGGGTGGAGAGTTTTGCTAGACTATGAGGGATTTGCTGGGGGTTCTGCATGGCTTTGAGTTGACCCTATGAACCTATCTGTTGCCTGGAATTTTTACTCATCTGGTCCATTTTTTCTGTGGAGCCGACTCAAACCAAACCAGAAACAAAAAGACAGTCTCACACCGAGGAAAAGACTGGGAGAAAAGAGACGTCTCTTTACGCCAGGAAGCCCCGAGTTTCTTCTTGGACGCGTAACTGGAAACTAGGAAGTGTCGCTTTCGCTTTGGTATAAAATGTGCCAAACGCACTTCGATAGTAGAAAAATGGCCACGATCTAAGCACCTTTTCTGAGTGGCGTTGGACCATTTGTGCTACCCTAACGGAGCTCAGCCGCAGTACTCCCAAGCGACTTAGGCTGTCTTCGCGGTTTCCGTAGGATGCTTCTTTACTCGCGACGTTGTTGAAGCTTTACCGCTTAGGCACCTTGGAACACGCATATGCATAAAAATTTAGCTGAGTACAGTCATTTGTGCAGGCCGAAAAACATACCACCATAGCTTGGTATGCCAAAAATATAAGATAAATGGGCAAGCAACGTTCGAATTGGATGGATTTTCAAATAAGAGCCATTGCACATTTTCTATTACTACTTCTCTGAGCTGCACTTTTTTCCGTACGGCCTATAACTTTGAGGTTTAGGGACGTAAACTACCTGAAGGGATTTCAAAGTTGTAATTAGCAACCAGTCTTCTGTCAGTTAAATTCAGGATCTGGCCCTAGTTGTGAATTTAACACTCTTTAGGGCACTCGCCCTTCACAATTCAACAGCTCACCTGGAAAAATAACCTCATTTTCATAGGATGAATTCTAGGTTTTCTCTTATTTTACAGGCCGCCTCACCCAACCACCACCACCAGAATGTGGAAGCAGTAATCTTTAGCCTTTGTGGTGCGCTAAGTCCCAGACGTTTAGTAGGTGCTCAGTAAATATTTGTTGAACTGATGAGCTATATTAAAAGAAAAAACATCCTTGATGGGTCAATACAACTCTACTATTCTGCATGTATTTGGAGGGCAGGGGTATCCCTTAGGGTTAACAGCCCTTATTCATTTTTTCAAAATACACCAAAATCTGACTGGAGTGTTTTGCAGCCTAGGACAGTATCTTAAGCCTTTCTCTGCAGTTCTGCAAATGAATTGAAAATAAAGTACCCTTTCTGAGGCAGTATAACTGTGTTTTTAAATAACCTGAGGTAGTAACAATGAAGGAGACACATTGGAACAAATCTTTGAATAAATGAAAGAGCCTTCTAGACTTTTCCTGAACTAGGTCCATTCGATATATGCTACTTGATTTAACACAACCTCTGAAATTGGAGTTTCTTGACTAAATCATGTTTTATTCACATTCAATGACCTATAACTTAAAATTAGTTTACTAATTTATTAAATGTAAAATATTTCAGTATTCCATTTGTATGCATTTATCTTAAGGTCATTTGTTTATATTTCTTCTTGGGATAATTTTCGATTTTGTTAACTGAGCTCGTGATTTTTCCTCTATGCTCTTTTCGACATTATTTGTATTTTCAACAGGAAACAAAAGTTCTGTTAAAAAGAATGGAGATGTAATGGTGGAATTTTAGTTGCAAAAGTAAAATAGGACTAGAACAAATATAATGATATCCAAAAAGTGGTGAAATAATACATTCTGGAGAGAAAAGAGGCAATAACCCTTGCTCTCCAGATTTTGGGGGGGTGTTAAAATTTCATTGCTTATTTTGAACTGAAAATTAAGCCTCAGAGAAGGAGTCACCATTGATACTGACATGCCCTAATATTGGTTTTTCTCAAAATGTGATATATCTATCTCACAAGAATAACCTGGGTTGCTTATTTTAAAAGTAAATCAGTACACACACTTACTCTCGCTCGCATTTACTGAAGCAGAATCTGTAAAGGTAGGCATACACATTCAAGTCTGAGAGCCACTGATTTATCGAGTACCTATAGTATTCCATATATTGTGGGACTACAAAGTGGAACATCTTCACTGCTTCTCTCTTGGAACTCAAAATCTAGCAAAGATAAGGTGTAACTCCCATAACAAAGGGAACAAAAAGATAACTTCCTAGGATCGAGTGCCAATGGTGAAAGAGAGAAGGCCTAGCTTTTAAAAAATTAGTGAGATTTCACCACTTCTTCATTCATTCATTCAAAAGATATACATGAAGTATGTGCAGTGTACAGATACTGAGCCAGGTGCTTGGGATGGAGTAGTGCGAAAGGCTAACACTGACAGTGCTTTCAAGGAGGGTGTCACTTAGGGAGACAAAACACATAACTAGACATAATACAAAGTCCGATAGTAATAAAGCGAAAGAACAAAAGAGGGAGGCTAACTCTAGAGAGGGTGCATCATAAGGAAAAGTTCTTGTGAGGGGGACGACCTAAAAGATAAGGAGAAAATAGGACAAATATTCCAGGTGGAAAGATTGACCTGTGCAAAATCCCTGGAGCAGAAAAGATCTTGCGTTTCTCAAACAGAATAGTAGTGAGCGTTGTCAATGAATTTTGACTAAGAACTGTAGGGTAAACAAGAGCTTTATTTGGGGGTCATTTTAGGAATTGCAAGTCCGGGAGACACAGATTTGGGTAGAAATCCCAATGCATTCTGATAGGAAAAGAAAGGGATAGGTTTATAAAGACAGGAAATGTTGGAGGGAGGAGTGGGGGCTTCCAAGAGGATTACATAAATTTTTTTGAAAGCTGTGATTTTTTACTGGCAAGCTGACTTACACTATGCTACACATAATTGCTAGGTGAAAAATTTATTTTTAATAGAGTTCGGTGATGCAGAGCTAGTTCTAAGAACTATAAGAGGATGTAGCCATTCGGTTTAGCCCAATTCAAAAGTTCAGTTTCACATGGAGGGGACTGCATTGGTTGAGCTTCCTGAAAGGCCTCCTGGCTTCATTTTAAATTGCTCTCAATAATACCAATTCCATTTTGCTGATTTTCTTTCACATTTTCCCCTTTGTTCAAGATATTTCCTTAGAAAGCATCGATGATCAACCATTAGGAGGTATCATTGGTCTGTCATGAAAAGCTACATTGATGCCTCATCACCAGGAAGGCTCATTCTGGGTATGTAATGTCCCAAGTAAGGAGGAGCAGTTTCCTGACTATAGAGTAGGTGAGCTTATGGCTATATTTGAGCAACGACGAGCCCTGTCGGAAGCAGAGCTAAGTCACATAGTCCTCAGATCCAAAGTTTTTTGTAGATATGATCTCAATCAGATTTATTCATTGTAACATCACTAGGCATTGGGCTACCATTACTCTAGTAGTGGCTGTTGTTAGTCATTGTTTGATGCACCTGGTAAGACACCTAATTAAGGTAGTATAATTACAAAAACCAATCCCAACTTACAGATTAATGTTCTGCCTATTCAAGGATTTTGATTTTTTGTTTCAGAACTTCAAGCTGTTGTATCACTTTATCTGATTTGTTGACATAGAAACAACATTCCTTTCCCAATAGGGTACAAGTACCATCTTGCTGGATGACTAACACATCTAGAACCCTATGATTTTGTAGTACTACCTCAGACTATCAGTCATTTCTTGTTCTTCAAGAGCAGTTATAGTAGCATTCAATATTTGTACTATAAGACTAGAAAGATTTTTGATAGACTTAAAATTCATCTACTCCACACCAAGGAAAGAAAGCTCTAGTGAAGGCATGCCCAAAGCCTCGTTTATCTATTGTGAGGTTTGGGGTGGAGAGAGGACTAAAAAGATCATGCCCAAAATCCCAATTCAGTTTTGTTTATTTTGGTCAGCATTCATAGACAAAACAGCCTAAAAAGGGAATAACGGCAGAGGAAGGACAGTCTCTGGCGACATTAGGTACTAACATAACAATATCACATCTGCCTTGCCATGGGGTTGACAAGGTGGTATATATTTGGGTCCTATATAAGAAGAATTACCTCGCACCTTCAGGTGAGAGCATATAATTAGGCCCTTCAATCCAGCCTTTGAGGATAATCTTAAGTCCTATTTCTGAGGTAGGGACTTCATGTCCTCCAAATGTTGGATGATCGAAATAGTCATCAACACAGAAGACATTAAAGTCGTCATGTGATTTATCATAAGATTAAAATCTGAGTTTCTGTATACTGGAGTCAAGATTAAAAGATTAGTATGGGTTTAATTGTTACAAGTTTTTGATCTGGAATTCCCTAAGAGATAGATTTTACTGGTTTTCCACCAAATACTTCAGACTTTTTAGTATTGGGGAGCAAAAGGACATCTGATTCCCAGGATTGAGTGGCATTAGTTTCTGAATTTCCCCACAATAGAGAGACATTGTAAGAAGTAACACTGTAGTTGCTTTAAGGTCCCTTGAGGTATGAACTCATAGTCATCTGAATCATACAAAAGTATAGTTACACATTGTTAAAAAGACAAACCCAAGATTCCACTCGAATAGTTTATATGTTCAAAACAGAGTCAAGTTATCAGTAAGATCCTAGATTGTGTATTCCCTCGTGAGATAATGGGACCTTATGAATGGATCTAGCTATAAGAAGGTCATGTGTTTTATCAACAGTTTTTGAGTTTTGAGAATAAAGAAGGATTTTAAATCTAGCATTATGTCTAGGTAGGTTTTGTAAGCTTTCAGTGCTTAGGGGCCAAGTCACTAATTCTGGTTCATCATGGATATGGTTAGCTCAAGTTCGTATCCAGAAGATGCATATGTACAGTTTTGTCTGCAAGAAACACTAAGTAAATGCATTAACTACACCTAGTTATACTGAGCTTGGTAAGAATACTGAAACATACAAACACCTCAGACATCTACCAGCTACTTCAGAACACATCCATCTACTTCTCATGTTACAACTTTCCGTCTCATTTCACATTACCTTTTACCACTGTGCAATAACTCACAAACTCACAACCCTCCTGACACCCACTTCCACAAGTAAATTTCAGGTATTTTTGAGATAAAATACTATATTTATTGTAGCATTTATGTATTTCTTAACCACTTAACAGGTGTAAATTTCTGCTATCATTTTTGTTAGGTTATTTTTTCCCCAGTGGCTAACTAATGAAGTTTTTAAGTATTATATCCCACCCTAATTTTTTCATGAGCTCTGTGGTTTTTATTATGCAGTTTTGCATAGTACAATGATACTTATGAACACATTATAATAGAACTGACAATAACATTCAATATACAGTCCCAATTTTAACAATAAAGAAATCGAAACGTGAAGAGTCAGTATCTTGCCAAAAGTCACGTGGCTGTTACAGAAGGAACTGAGATTTTATCAAAGATCCATCTGGCTCTAAAAATACCACTTTCTTTCCACAGTGGCATGTACCCACATGAACACTTAAAATAGAGGTAATATTAGATCCACCTGAGCTCAAGTGTTGTTCCTGTTATATGCAATTTGGTTAATAGTTCCCATGTGTCATATTCTAGGTATATATTCTAGCATGTGTACATATATTATATATATTTATTTATGTGAATAGGTCTCTATTTCCCACAGACAAAGACACATGTCCAAGTAGTGATTAAATAATCTTGCTAGATGAATTATGCACAATATAATTCTACTTTGCATATTTTAAGTATTAATGTTTTCTTTTATTTCAAATTTCCTTTTTCATTTATGTGATTAAGGCATAAGCAAAATTCTATCCATCTTTGAAAATAGCTTGTCTTTAAAGTATAAGTTATATGATCTTACACAGGGTCATAATAGTTTTACCTTGAATGTTACTTTGGCTGTCCTACAAGCATTAGTAAAGACCCAATAGTTTGACTCTCCGTCCTGTAGCCATTCATAAAGAAAATGGCATTAGAAGTTTTTCTTACAACAAACTAGTGAAAAATTATATAATGAAAATATACATGCTCAATCATTCTGTAACAGATTTCAATGCAGCACAAAATTTTTTCTTTTTCTCATGAAAAGGACAAGGCTTTCTCTTAACTACTATATCTTATTTCTAATGATTTTAAGTCTCATGTTCAGCATATATTTACTTGCCACAGAAACAAAATGTTATACTTCGTTCTATAAAAGAATTGTTTATAACATATTTCACCAAATCTAAAAAGCCAGCTGTAAAATGCTCTATTATTTAGAACCAATAAGGAAAAAAAATCTTGTTTTGTAACTGATGAACTATTATTAGTGTTCATCAATTACTAGATACATCTCAGTTTCAGAATCATTAAAAATGAGCATCTTTTAAAAATAATGAAATATGTATGGTATTTTATTCTATCATAAAGTTAGTTTGATTTTTAGTGTTCATATAACTACAGCAATTGTAGACAGAGCATTCTCATAACAAATTTATCATGAGTTTACTTCAATTTAATATTTATTTGATTTAGAACAAATTTTTCATGTAAGTTACAATATAAAGAACCTTTTAATTAATTTGTAATTCTTTAACAAATGCTACTTAAAGAGGAAAATGAGTGAAAGAAGTGAGCCAAGGAGAAACTTCATGAACTGTAGAAACAAAAGCCCCTCCTAAAACAGAGTAACCAGAAAGTTATCTAACTCATTCTGTAGCTTAGAAATGTTTAAGAAGTAAACAACAATAAATTAAAAAGCTACAAAATTAAGAAAACTGATCTTATTAAAATGTAAAAGAGACTCCTAAGCCAAAGATACAACGGGGGGAATTACTTTAAAATATTTGAATAAATAATGCTAATGGTTAGCTTTCATTTGCTTCTCTCGGAAAGTGAAAAGAGGTCAATTTAAATAGGAAATAGAATTCTTCGCATTAAAATTGGGGGATGGGTGCGTGGAAATGGAGGTAAATGGAAATGATATCTATCAAATATCTACTATGTACCACATATTGTGACTAATTTTATTCAATATTCACCAGTAATCCTCAGTGAAATGTAATTATCATCTTCGTTTTATTGATGAGGAAACATTTTTTCAGGATTAAAAAATTTACCCACAGCTAATAAATCGAAGAGACGGGGTTTTAACTCAAAGTTTAATCAAAACTTATGTTCTTTCTACTACTTTTGGTTGAGAATTTGCAACATTAGAGTGGAAGATTATAAACTTATAAACACTTTTGGGAGGTATTTTGTGAATAATTACAAGCAGTCTAAATGGATATCTTTCAAATTACTAGGCAAGTTTAACCTCTTGAAAACTACAGCCAATTGTACCTATGTTTGAGTAGTTTAAGAGAAAAATGAGTAGAACCCAAAAGGCTTGAATTTTTCCCTTGTTCTGAAGATCACCTGCTCCCTTATTGTTTTGCTTGAAAATTGCCTGCCTCTGAAGGTTAGGTCAGTATTTGTGCATTGTTAGATAGGGGCTTTCATTGTGTTTGTTTTACCCCTAGTTCTCTTCAACATCCAAAACCCGGATGTAAAACACTGGAGCAGTAGTGTGAGCTTGGCTCTTAAAAGGCAAAGGTTTCATGGCTGCTCAGCTACTAGCTTTTCAGGAAAACAATCACGAAACTTCAGAGCAAAAGTGATATATATAGGCTTGGTCCCAGCGAAAATTGCAATGAAATAAAATACAATAATGACAAAGCTTCTTTGAAAACTCTATGAAAACGAGGTTGTCTCTTTTATTTTTTCTGTTAGTTAATCCAAGTAAGGATTGCTTTTTAAAAAATCTTAATAGAAAGTCTCATTTAAAAAATTATATGTATATTTGTATAGAATTAGATAAGAAGAATAAAACTCAAAATGATACTGTATTTTTATTTGGATGGCCACATTATAGTTAATTTTTTAAACATTTTTTCTTTGCTTTTCTGTATTTTCTAAAATTTTTACAATAAGCATGACTTTTATAATTAAAAAAAACCTTTAAAAAATTTAGGCCATTTAATTTTATTTGAATTGTATAAGATGATGAGCAGCAAAGATGTTTGTTGCATATGGTTGTTATAAATCAGGTGTCAAAACTCTAATTTAACGAAGAAGAAAAAAATATCCATTACTAAATCATATTCTTGATAAATCTAATTCCAAAGTACTGTTAGAGGGATATTTGCTCCCAGACAGAACCTTTGAGTTTGTTTTTATTTTTCTTCTTTTTTCCAGGTGTGCCCTCCAGCCCTCTTTGTTTCATGAATCTTCTCTTAAGCAGTGCAGGGGAGTACTGTAATTCAGTGAAGAAACAGTATCTGTTAAAGTATTTGCTTCCATTTAGAAAGAACCTATCTAGTGAATTCCAACCACCCATGATAGATATGCCTAAAAATGGCTTGACCCTTTGTAAAACAATTATTTTCAAAATTCATTTTGTTATTTTGAGATCTGGCTAGTTAGGTTAAAAGTTATCACCACCATTTTTTAAAATTCAGTTTTAGAAAGGATTGTCAAATCATAGACCAAACCGTTTTTCTAGTGTTTGTGCCATTATTTATTTTTATGTCCGTAACAAATAAGAAGAAGAAGAAGAAGAAGCTTACTCTTGTACTGTAACTAGGTTAATATCAGCTAACACAAACCCATTCAGTAGCTTGGCCTAGACATGTTCATTTTCTATCACACATTCCAAGGAGATAGTTCTGGCAATGGCACATGAGATGATCCTTTGCCCTGACCACAGGATGCTCACTGTTTGAAAACAAATTCATTAAAATTCTTAAACATCGTTCAGGAGCAAGAGCCATACAAACGTTTATCATTAATGGTCATTTACAATTTATTCATAGGGATCCAGCTGGCAACCATCTGGTGCATAAAACCAAAAATTAAAGGGAAAAAAAAATAAAAGTTGCTATAAAAATATAATTTAGTCTCCGTATTCTTTGATACATATTAAGTTCAGTTAATTAGCTGTTAGTGGAATAAGATGGATGCTCTACAGTAGCAGGTACATATATATGGAATTTAACATAAAGGTAAGTTGAAATTTTATTCAAAGTGTATGTTGAAGGACAAAATGAAGAAAGTAGTAACTAAACAGTAATTAACTGGCAAATATACCAAGTAGTATAGGCTAGGCTGCAATAACAAATTAGACTCTAAACTGTATAATGGCTCAGAAGCTTTTCTCTGTTAACAATTTAAGGTAACTGTATTATTAGGTTGGTAAACATGTCCTCAAGCAGTGATTCGGGGCCTTGTGCTATCTCGTGGATACCCTATCTCATAGGACCCAAGGATAGGATTCCACCAACCCCCAGAAAACCCATGGATAGAATTCAGGGCTGTCACTATATTTGTATAGAAAAAATTACATCACTGTTAACTTTGAACGAAATTGTATCATTTAATGTTAATTATGAATATAGGCGGAAATCATAAAAGTATTAACAGTAACTGGTGACTTTGTAGCAAATAGAAATCACAGATTTTTATCATAGCTATAGTTGCAGATCTTTCCAAAAATCATTTATTCTCGGCACTCTTTTAAATTACAGTAGTTATTAGGCCTGCCTATTGATCTTATATTTTAATACTAAAAATCAAAACAAAACAAGAAAAGCACAATATGGTAGGCAGCCTTTAGGATGGCCCCCAGTGATCTGAGCTTCCTGGTGTGCATACCTTTGAGGAATCCTCTTCCAATGAATAGAATATGGCAGAAGTGATTTTATGTCATTTGTGAGATGAGGTTATAAAGGTTTGGTAGATTTGTGCACTCTCTTGGAGCACTTGCTCTGGAGGAAGTAATGCTGCCAAGACATTAGGCAACTCTATGGAAAGGTCAATGTGATAAAGAACTAAAAAACCTGCCAACAGCCATCTGAACTTGGAAGTGGATCTTTCTCCAATTAAGGTTTCAGATGATTGTATCCCAAGATGTCACCTCTATTTTAGCCTTGTGAAAGGCTCTGAGCCAGAACCACCCAGCTAAGCTGCTCCTGAACCACAGAAACCATGTGATAATGTTTTAAGCTAAGTTTGGGGGTAATTTGTTATATAGCAATAGATAATTAATGTACACACATATTGTCATATCAATAATTTTCTAAATACTTTAATAATTATATTCAATATAATCAGCTTCCTTTATAATTTTAGCATTTTATTGTATACATTTAAAAACATTCTGAGAGAAGATCCAAAGATTTCTTCAGTGTGCCGAAAGCAGCCATGGTACATTAAAGATTAACCCATTACTCAGCCATAAGAAGAAATGAAATACTGCCATTTGTGATAACATGCATGGACCTTGAGATAATCATGCTAAGCGAAATAAGCCAGACAGAAAAAGTTGAAAATCACATGGTATCACTTATATGTGGGATATAAACCTAAAAGCAACAAATAAGCAGGACAAACAGAGACTCATGGACTTGGAATATAGACCAGTGGTTACTAGTGGGCTGGGGGTGGAGGGTGGAGGTAGATGGGGTAAAGGGAGTCAAATATAGGGGGAGCAGGGGGAGAGTGAAGTGGGTAAAGGGAATCAAATACATGGTAGCTGAAGGAAATTGGACTTTGAGTGGTAAACACACAATAGAATATACAGATGTCAAATGATAATGTACACCTGAAAATTATATAATTGTATTAACCAATGTTACCCCAATAAACTTAATTAAAAATTTAAAATAAAAAATAAAAACAGTCTAAAAAAAAAAAAATTAACCCTATGTATGGCCTCATTATTGCCTACTGCTGGCTGGCAAAAGGAGAAAAAAACATGGAGGAGGCATGCCTTTCTTTTATACCCTTTGCCTGGAAAAAGCAGACATTATTTATGATCACATTTTATTGGTACGAACTGGTTACATGGCCACAATTCGATGCAATGGCGGCTGGAAATAGTCATTTGCTAACAGTTGCTCCATATAAGGGGAGGATATATTTTAATGGCTAGTGCTAGAACGAATGCCCAAAATATTAAGAAAAACAATGAAAATAATATCTGCTAGAATAGAATCTTAAAATTCATTTGGAAAATAAACACAAAGAGTCAAATGAGAGAAGCAGATGGTGATGACATACAACATTTCCTGTGAAGTGATTTTTATTCCAAGTAATAAGACATCTGCAGCTCTGAAGATGTGCAAAACTAATTTGAGTTCAGCATCAAGATGAGAAAATCAGAAATCAAATTCTTCTTTAATCTTCCTTAAGAATGAATTTTGTGAAGTTACGAACACAGAATATTAATTTTTCTGAAGTAACTGAACATAAAATGGGATAGGATCATTGGTGTTTATTTATTCACTTATTCAATAAACATTTGCTGAGGGCCTACTATGTAACAGAGACTATATTAAGTACTGAGGAAAATGAGATTGCTAAAAATAAGACAAGATCGCTGTCTTCAGAGAGCTCATGATAGGGGAAACAGCTCAGCCAAGTAAATCTATACAGTGTTCTCTGCTATGTGGCATAACCACGGGGTGCTAAAAGCAACATTCGAACGGCAAAACAAGTCACAATTAGTTTTTTATTTCAACATGCCTTGAGCTAAAAAGATGAAATTAAGTTGGAATGTCATGCCCCAGTCATTAAATAGGCTAAGATTCCTATGGGGATCATTTATCAGACCTCAGGATCCTTTAATCCACAAAGTGAAGCTGCCTCTCAATGTTTCAAAAAAAGATTCCAGTCCTCCTGGAAGTCTACTATGTGGTCCCATACCTGTAGAGTCATGTGAAAAAATTAGTTACCCTATGTTCCCTACAATGTTTACAAGACGATTGATGACTGATGACTCCTGGAGAAAAATCGGGACACAGGAAAGCTGGGCTGCCAATAGCTCATCAAATGTCTTTGAGGAGATTAGGCAAATCTACTCATTCTTTGGACTGGGGCAGACCCATGTCCAGGTACATGGCTTGATGGTAAACGAAGTGCAGGCTGTATCTTAGTCCCATTTGACCTCTACGCTGCACATTTAGTCCTAAGCAGAGGCCCTGCTGGAAGTCCCCCAGCAAAGCATTGACAAGATTACGCAAGAATTAAATTCAGTTTCACAATGTTGAACATTCATTCTTCATTCAAATATTATTAAATTTAAATTTTTCCTTGGCTGAAGAAATAAAGTTTTCTACATGTATGACAAATAAGTGTTAGGAAATGAATTGTCTCATTGAACACAACTTCACATCAAGTAACTTCTAAAATCTTTATTTCATGGAAACATCGCTCTTTGTCATTGCATATCAGAAAAAAATAAGAGAATGAACAAGTAATTAACTGAATTCTATTTAAAGAAACATTTAATTTTCAAGTGTTCTTTTTAAAAAGGACTTGACTCTTAGAAAGACACTAAGCCCGACATCCTGCCCAGTTGACAGTGTTTTGCCCCTGTAATAGGTAATCCACAGCCCTCAATCAATGGTTTAAAGCCTGTTTCTCAAGCCTGGTGTCAACGCACTGGTGAATTGCATTCGGTTATGCAGTATTTTGAATGGAACTTATTACTGATGTAGTGACATGAACTAAGATACTCCTTCCTCCTCTTTCTATCAGAAGATAAAAGGGTACCACCATTCATCCCAGGTGATTCTAATAGAGCAAATGGTCCTGGGACCAGCAGCTGCAGCCTCACCTGAGGAATTATTGAAATGCAAATTCTCAGGCTCCATCACAGAACTACTGAATCAAAAACTCTAGAAGGAGGCCCAGCAAGACATGGTTTAACAAACCCAGGTGATCGTAATGTATACTCAAGTTTAAGAAACACTGTAATGGAACCATTCCCAGTTGATAAGCTCAGGAAAGAATCAAATGCTCTTTAACACGATAGGGTAGAGCTATTATTTTACAGATAGATTAAAAGTCATGTTAATAGGAGAAATATGATGAATTTGGACACTGAAAAAGAAAAATACTTGCAGAGATAGTTATATGTGCCCCTAGGTAACTCGAGAAGAGTAGGGAAGATTGTTTGCACCCCACGGGATGGGAAGATTGTTTACACCCCTCATGAGTGGATAGACTGAACCGAAGTCTGAGTACTTGTCATTCCCCGCCTCCCAACATCCGCATGAGACCATAGCTCTCCCCTCTTCCCTTTTGAGCCAGTGAAGTATAGAAAAAGGGAAGCCCCTCTCAGCATCCATTGAGGTTTAGAGTTAATAGCATAAGAAGAGATCTATTCTAGAACATTCTCCAGTCAGAATAGGCAGAAGGAAGGTGTGGAGACAGCAGATAGCAGAGAGCTTGAGATGGATTATAAGGAAGGGGTGAGAGGTATGAGGTGGGGGCCAGCATTTAAGAACAAAGAGAGACTTCCGAAACCCTCAAAGCACTGAGGGATTTTGCCTACCCATGTAAAGTCACAAATCCTAGTTCATTCTAATTACACGGCTTTAAGAATGATTTACAATAATAACAAACTGCTTCAAATGCCATTACGGTTCATTCTGGGAGGACAGTGAAGTGGTACCCCATCTGGGAAGCAGCTCCACTTTCTGATCACGGGCAGGGCTTTCTCATTCATTTTTACACTCCAAGCTAAAAATTCATCAAAGGACCAGAAGACAGTTGCCCCTGAATGGCCACTGTCACCAGTAATGTTTCTTTGTTCTCTGTGAAGGAAATGGAATAAATGGAGCACTCTCCCAGTGCTGCCCTGGCCCAGCTGACTGCTCACTAGTCCTGCTGTCTCAGGGCTCAGTCTCTCCCACTCTACAGAGAGCAGTGTGCTCTAGAAGCAGGTGGCAGCCCAACGTCAGACTGGGTGCTCTGGAAAGGGGGCAGGCTTGGTCTTTGTAATTCTTGTCAGATCAGGCTTTCTTAGAACTAGAACTAAGTGAAGGATATTAGAAACTCCAAAACAGATAATATTCACACATAAAGGTAATTTTAGGCTAGATGCTGCC